TTATCACTGAGTTCACCATATCATACAGGAAAAGTACATTAATATGCCATAGAGAAAATCTCACACACATAAACAACCACTTAGCATTTTTAAGAACATATCTGACTTATTGGTTAGCTTAAATATCTTTTGGTAGAGTTAGACACCCACGTACAGTGAGTACATTCATATAAGTTATCAGAACAATTCCTTGTGCTGGTGAATGAGCATCTCTCTTCGTCATGTATGATGGTAAAGATTATACATTATAAAGCTTTAACCTTTCCATTGGAATTCTAAATCTTGATACAATTCAGCCATTCCCAGGGTTCTTCAGATAAAGTTACACTCTGGAAAACGTTTTTCTAAAGCCTTAGTTTACATTTACATTTCTGTTTCATGCTGGGTCTCTTTTCTTGAAGTTTCTGTTGTTATTTTCTGTTTTAGGCCCATGGTGAAGTAGGGGGAGGGAGTGGGACTTTTCCTGATTTGTTTTTTCCCTGTGAATTCTATATTCTGTTGTAGGCTGTACCATGCAAAAAATTGTGTATGTGTGTGTTAGTTTTTTTCCCCTGAGACGGAGTTTCACTCTTGTTGCCCAGGCTGGAATGCGGTGGCGTGATCTCGGCTTCACTGCAGCCTCCACCTCCTGGGTTCTGGCAGTTCCCCTGCCTGGCCTCCCAAGTAGCTGGGATTACAGGCATCTGCCACCACGCCTGGCTAATTTTTTGTATTTTTAGTAGAGAAGGGGTTTCGCCATGTTGGCCAGGCTGGTCTCAAACTCCTGGTCTCAGGTAATCCACCCTCCTCAGCCTCCCAAAGTGCTGGGATTACAGGCGTGAGCCACCATGCCTGGCTGAGTGTGTGTATTTTTAAAAATAGGTACAATACTTGTTAGATTTTTTTCTCATTGTAATATTTTATAGCATTTAAGAAATATAAAAATACAGTGTATAGTTTATATGGATACTGGTCTAAACTTGAGAGAGTAGTAATAAGAGCTAATGCAGATGCGAAAAAATACGAAAGTGAATATAATTGATATATAAAGCATAAAAAGCACATGAAAGTGTTTTTCTTTTAATCTTGTATGGACATTTACTTTGCATGTAATATGGAATCAGGACTTTCTAAAAGGAAAATGTTCTAGCTTTTTCTTTTAGTGAAACAAAACAATAAGAAATTACATGTTTAAAAGTTTTTTAGTTTCCTCAGATACTTAGTTTTTGTCTCTCGTTTATATCCTAACATAGCCTCTCTCTCAAAAAAAACACCCCAGAATATTTAAAAGTTATTCTTCCTTGCAGTACATTCTAAGACCCTGTTTGTTTAACAATGTTGGGTAAAGTTTTTGCAAGCACTCTCTTTATGGGCCTGTATTCTCCTTTTTTGAGTTATTCCTTCTGGACTGGAACTATCTTAGTCATTCCATTTTATTTGACTTTAGTTAATTTCCTCAGGTGTATTTTATAGATTTTGTTAGTGTAGTATAATTTTCAGCCTCTGCCCTTTGTTCTTCCCTTCTTTTCAAGATTTTAAACTATTACATATTCACTGAGAACTCTAAAATATATAGCTCTACATTTGATCTCATTTTTCTGTTTCCATCTCTCTGTCCCCTCACAGTGAATGTCTGGAACCGGAAGCATCGTCTTGCCACTGACCTGTTTGCTCCAGTCAGATCCAGCCATTCTTTGTTCCCTCCTGTTATCCTTTAGGCTCTTTATCTTAGATCTAAGAATTTCTTGTCTTGTTCTCTCTTACCCATTATATCTCATTAGTCAATGTATTATCTTAGTAGTTTTTGCTCCTGCCAGTTCTGTAGCATTCTCAAAAGCCTAGATGACTCTTCTGCAGCCTTATTCCTGGAATACTTTAGAAGTCTCTGAATTTGTATCCCTGCTATCCTCAAATCTGTCCTGTGCATTGCTGTCAGATTAATCTTCCTAAAGCATTGCTATTACCCAGACAATCTCCTGCTTTGGAACCTTCATTGGCCCCACTTTGCCTGGAGATTGAAATTTAGACTTTTCAGCCTGGTATTTGAGGTTCGCTCGTAAATTTGTCCTAGTTTTTTCCTCCACTGGCCAGTAACAAAAATACTTTCATTTTTGTCAGGATGGTCCCAACATACTGAGAATATTTTTACATTGGCATATCCTTTTCCATTTCTCAGTGTTTTATGTCTTTTCTGCATTTTACTCTATGATGTCCTTTCTACTTTTTTTTTGGCCACTAAATCTTAACGTACTTTTTTCCAACTTTCAGCTCTTGTCTTGCGCCCTCTGTGAAGTCTTTCTGCAGTGGTTCTACTGTGATTTCACCATCATCTGAATTCCTGTTTTGCTTTGTTGCTACTCACAAAGCACTTCCTGTTCAGTATTTTGTACTATTACTTGCTTTTGTGTTTTACTTGGGTCTAGGTCCTATGTTGCTGACTGGATTTTAAGTGTTAGGAAAGCAGGGACCATGTTATATTTCTTTGAATCTCTCTTAGCCAAGTACAGTTCATTACAAATGCCCACTTATTTTTTTCCATAAATCTTAATTGGTTGCCTACACTCAAGCACCATTGATTAAAAAGTTAAACAACAAAGGTATAGACTCAGCTTTCATGGACTTTATATTCTGGAAGAGAGAGAAAGATGCTCTACAGCTAATTTCATAATTACCTACTTAGTTACAGTTGAGGAATGTGGTTTGTCATTTTTTTTTGACAATCAGAAAACCTAGAAATTTGCCTTCGTTTTTTCCCTCTGCTGTCATTGGTATTTATAATTTTTCTTACTTCACAAATAAATTTTGATAGGGTAAATTATTCTTGAAAGTGTAGGTTTTCAAATGGTCCAACTTAATTCTTCTAAATACACGTAATGCTGTATATCTGGGTAAATTCAGTAGACAACATAATGGAAAGAATGATTAATAGGTGCCTGACATTAAAATAATTATAGTGAATTTTATGTCGTTTATGTGATACGTAAACTCATGTGAAATAGTTAAAAGATAATGAAAATAATTCCAAAAGGAAGATTTTCTAAACTCAATTAGGAATTTTTAGTTAATGTACTAAAGCTATCTTTTGTAGGAGAATAAGATTAGATTAAAGGTAGATATGTTGTTCTTAGATATGTTGTTTTAGCTTCAGGTGTTTTTTTCTAGTGGCTTGAACAATGTCATATTTCATAGGCATGATTTTTTGAGGTTGTAATAACCATAGAAAGTTAATATTGAAAGAATGGCAAAATATGCAGTGAAACTAAAAATTGTTGTATTTGCAAATATAAAAATATAATTTACATAAATGTTACAGTTAGGAACATTATGAATGTAAATATGCCTTCTCTGTTCCCAGTCTTGTAATGCCATTCTTTGTCCAGTTGGAGATGAAGAGTGATGTTGAGATGGGTATTTAGCCTATTTTAACAGCTTTAAAAAAATTCAGTATCGTTGATGTAAATACGAGAAGGGAAGAGAATACTTATCTCTATTAAGTGACATAAAAAACCGTGGTAAGAATAACAGGCAGTGAATGTGTCTTAAATAGTAAAATCCCTGAAATCAGATGCTAATTATAAGCACAAGGACACTTGCTTCCTACATACTTAAATGTGTATTTTCTTTAGTCAAAGTGTAATTCAGAGTTCTTGAAGTGCTGAATATGGTCTTTGTTTTTTCATTTCCCTTTAGCATACATATTAAAAAAAAAAAGCAATAAGACACTTCTGCTGGACTGTGATTTTGATGGATATAGGTGGACTATTAAACCAAATGCTATGAAGATAAATTCAAATGTTTGCTCTCAAAAGTAAAAATAAAGGATTGTCTTTATTGTGTGATTTCCCTGCTTCTTACTATTAAAAAACAAATGTTTAGTAGTAAAGGTAAAATTATTTAAACATATTTGAGCACATTTTACTTGCTTCCTGTGGTTTATCAAGGCCTTTAAGGCTTAGATTGTGAAAGGATGTATTAATATTGGTATTAAGAGTATATTTGTTTAGATTATTATGGACTTTAAATTTTATTTTAGACATTCTCTCTGGCATCTTGTCATAAAAGTTATGTGTTGTTTTACTTCGTTAGCAGTTTTAACATTTTTAAGTATCTGAGAAGAAAAACTTCCTCTACATTTTGAACAGGGTCTTTCATTGGTGGTTTTGTAACATGTTCTTCAGTTGTTGAGAGGTGTATAGTACAGATACCCTGTTCTTAGAAAGTAATGGGCTTTTAAGTTTTAGAGTAGTAGGAAAAGTCTAATGGACTTAAACTATTTTAAAAACTTTGTTTTTAGAAAGAGAGGTATAAGAAAACCTTTTGTAATCTTGCTATTTTTTTGTTCTTAGGTATGCCTTTTATTTAGCTTTTAGTAACTTGTAATTTAAGATCACAGTTATTAGGTGTATTTCTGCATTTTATATATCACTCCCAGATGCTACAGTATTAGTTTTTATCACTGCATATTTTATGAAATGTCAGCCTTCTGTTGGCTGTTCACGCAGCATTGTTAGTGATCAAAGACACAACATAAAGGAGAGGAATCTAAACAGTTGGCTTATCTTTGTCCTTCGTTGTGACAAAAATACTCTAAAATTACTTAATTATAAAAAGTCAAATAAAGGCATCATGTAACATGCAAAGAAATAAGTATCTTTATGTTTTAGTGAAATAAAATCTCAGTGTTTAATATCAAGAAGCATAAAGAGACTTACTATCTAATTTTACAAAGTTTTCCTTGTTAAGGAATGAGGGTAATATGTGTTGTGTAATTTTGTAATACTTTGCTAAATGACAGTGCTGTGCCTAGGAAAAGCCACAAAGTGTTTGACATCGTAAGAGGTTACTCAGTATAAACCCTTAATTTTGTTACACAAATTATGTTCTAGAAAAGTGGTTATTAGCTTTTGTATGTACATTAAGTTGTATGTGAGTCAGTTTATTAAAATATTTTCTTGAATTGATCTACTTTGTATTTAAAAACTATTTCATAGATTTAAAGATCCTTTTTTTTTTCTTTATTTCAGTGATATCAATATCAAGATAAAAGTGTGGAATGGGAGAAAAATTCTCAAAGCCTGAAAGAAAATCTGTAAGAATAAAATTCTTGAATGATTTTGATCAGCTGTTGTGTATGCCCAACACAGCAGTTGGTTCAATCAATTTTGTGTTTTAGGATGGTTTTATTAAAATGAGCTGCTGCTTTTAGTAAATCATTGAGAAAGATGCTGGCTTTATACATGTCTTTTTTGGTTGGGGGCAGGGCCTACAATTGCAGCCTTGTAAGTCAGTAAAATTGGAGACAGTTCCTGGCTGCCATGAAAGTCAGTGTGTTTCTGTGTTGGTATGGGCATTTGGAAATAGAGGTAGAACGAAGATTTAGATTAAAAATGATTTTAGATAATTGTACTGTTATGGCTCTCTGCAGGAAACTGCCATTTCTAGTAAAACGTAATCATCAGCAGATAATAGGGATTTAAGTGTATCTTCAGTTTTGTGTACAGTTTCTGTTTTTATAAATGAATGAAAGTTAATTGTTTTCCGATGGAAGAATGAAATCTTTGGAAAGTAGTTTGAAAGACATAGCCACTGGATATGAGTTAGAGGCCTCAACATTTTGTCCTGATATGCATTATACAGTTACTACCCAAAGTATGGTCTGTACATAAACAGTATTGGTGTTACCTGAGATCTTCCTAGATACGCACAATCTCAGGCCTAACCCCATAACTACTAAATCAGAATCTGTGTTTCATCAAAATTCCCAGGTCATTCATATGAATATTAAACTCTGAGAAGCATTGCCATAATTCAGACCTCTCATTTTTTCTGTGTATGTGTGTTGTAATTGTGGGGTGCTCATAGTGGAGTTGGTTATCTGTAGTTCAAGAATTGGAAGAGGAAGTGGAAACTCACACCAGAATTTTAGTGGGGGCCCAGGAGTAGACAGATAGTTAATTTAGAACTCATAAGCTTTTGATCTTTAACCAGTTGCAATTTGAATCAGTAGTTACTTTGTATATTATGTAGAAAGCTTCATGTCACCCTGGTAGTATTAATCAGGTGTTTTCTTTTGGCCATGGCAGCATCTTCTCATGTTCACAGATACTTAAGATGTTTTCTGCCAGTCATAGTGTAGTAAACATTTCCAAAGTGTGTTCTATGATATATTTTTTCCAGGAGATGCTTGGAATGTAAAGATCCCATGGCCACATAAATCTGAAAGCACTGAAAGCACTACTTTCCCGTAAGAGAATCCCATTATATGCTGATGTATTAAAAGACCTGAGAACCTGGTGTAACTTAGTTTAATTCAGTATTTCCCAAATTTACTTGACTATAGCATACTTTTTTTTTTCAAAACAAACAGTCTTTTAAATTTTTTCCTTTAACATGTGCACAAACTGACTTCTTTCCACATTTATTTATCTTACTCAAAATAAGAGATATGGACAACTTCTGAAATTGTGATGTTATGCCACATAAAACATACTTTCTAATATTGCTACATATAAATGGTACTGGTATGACTCTTGTGTACCGAAGGGACTAAAGATGCAGACATTTTTGAGGATTGGAGTGATTGAGCAGTCATCATTTAGAACAGGGGTCCCCAACCCCCTGGTCATGGACTGAGACCGGTCCATGGCCTATTAGGAACGGGCCACACAGCAAGAGGTGAATGGTGAGCAGGTGAGCTCTGCCTCCTGTCAGATCAGCAGCAGCATTAGATTCTCATAGGTGTGCCAACCCTATTGTGAACTGTGTATGCGAAGGATCCAGGTTGCTCATTCCTCATGAGAATCTAATGCCTGATGATCTGAGGTGTAACAGTTTGATTTCGAAACCATCTCTCCCCACCTCCTTCCCCATTCGTGGAAAAACTGTCTTTCACAAAGCGAGTACCCGGTGCCAAAAAGGTTGGTGACTGCTGAATTAGAAAGTGAGCATAGAACTGATCCCAGTCAGATTTGATGGATGAATGAAAGAGAGAAAATTGACTATTCTTAGTGTTTGCTGGAAGGAGGAAAACCATGAGCAAAGGAATAAATTAAACATTTCAGTTGAATACATTTTTACCAAATTGCTAATAAAGAATAGGCTCTGTACTTGGCCTTGGGCAAACAGTAGTGAAAAATACTCAGTCTGCCCTCTAGTTGCTTATTGTGAGCATAGTACATTCTGATAAATGTACAAGAGTTGGAATCCAGAACATAGGATTTTCTTTGTGGATTTGTTAAAAAAAAAAAAAAAGTTGGCCAGAATACTGTATCATGGAGTGCTAGAGACAGGACATAACTGTAGTGATGGATGTTTCTGGTTAGGTAGGGGAAACAGAGGAAAGGACAATTATGGGACAGAATTTCAAAAGGTAAGATTGGGAAGACCAAACAGCCTTAGAAGTCAGAGAGCTTTTGGTACTCAAATTGCCCAGGTTTGGTTAGTTGAAGTGCATGACAGTCCTCCATCGCATATTTCAGTGCTTCCTTAATTTCTGACAAAAGAAGTTGTTGCAGGGTTATCTTTTATATGTTCTCCCCCAGCTTTGGAAGCAGCCATTTCTCTGAGAAGCTCTGATTGTTTTTTAGTGGGGAATAATATTAGCGAACAAGATGTTGGCACTAGTGTGTTGATTGCTACTGGGTCTTGGCTTTTAGGCCCTTTTAGAGGACAGAGGTAGGAAATACATAAGCTTTATATATACATATACATCTACATTTATACTTATATACACAAATGCATATTAAAAAACATGTGGACACATACATCTGCATATTGTTTTTTATTTAGAGATACACCAGTTTCTCTAATTCTAATCCATCCATGCAGGTTTCTTTCTTGGTTGCTTCTCATATTTATATGTCCCATCTTTCATAGTGAGAACCTTGGCTTCCAACAGTATCAACACATTTACTCTTTTGTTCAACTAAATAATAGATCTAAAACAGTTTCAAAATTGGTTAATCATATAAGAAACAAATACACCAAAAAAGTTTGAAAATTGTTTGAAGTTCTCCCTCCTTTCTGTACTCATTCCTGTGAATATGTAACCAAATACTATTCTCATAATTACTTAGTTCTTTCTTCCTTATTCCTTAAGTGTGGTTATGATATTAATTTGGAATGTAGTTCACTCGTATTAGTTTTCTTTCAGCTTTTGTGCCCCCTTTTCTTTATATCCTTATTGATTTAATTTTTTGAATATGTAGAAAATTACTTACTTTTCCAAAAAGTAAAACTGTACAAAAAGATATACCATAAAATTGTCACTCCATCCTCCCCATTCCACCCCATACTTTGTAGGAAACCAATTTTTATTGTTTTCTGGGCTTTACTCATTTTTATAAAGATATGCAGAGATATTTATGTTTCTTTTCTTTTCTTTTTTTACCTAAAAAGTAGCATGTATGTTCTTTTGCAGTTCAGTTTTTTCATGTATCAGTATCTCTTGGAAATTACCTCATACCAGTTTGTAGAGATTTTCCTTACTCGTTTTTGCAGGTGCTTACTACTTTGCGTGTGCCATAGTTTATTCAACCAATCTCTTATGCTTGCGCATTTAAGTAGTTTTCAATATTTTGCAATTACAAACATGCTGCAGTGATATTCATTTTCATAGTTTTAGAGGTGTATCTTCAGGGCAAATTCCTGGAAATGGGATTGCTGGTTGAAAGGGCAAATACTAAGCCCGGTGCAGTGACTTGCCTCTGTAATCCCAGCTACTTGAGAGGATCCCTTGAGCCCAGGAGTTCAAGGCTGCAGTGAGCTATGATAGAGCCATTACACCCAATCTGGGTGACAGAGTGAGACTTTGTTGCTAACAACAACAACAAAAAGGTTCAAAGGGCAAATACTTACATGGTTGTATTAGAGTATTACCCAGTCCCCTGCATGGGGGCTGTAACAGTTTGTCTTCCCACACTGCAGTGTATGAGAGTGCCTATTTCCCGACAGCCTTGCAGACAGAGTGCATTGTGAAACTTCAATTTTTGCCAAGTGATAGGTGAGAAATGGAATGTTGGATACATTTAATTTGCATTCATCGTTTATGTGTGGAGTTGAATGTCTTTTCATATGTGTAAGAGCCACTTTCCATAGGATATTTGGGCTTTTCCCCCTCAGTTTAGAAGTTCTTTGTAGGGATATTAGGCATTTATCTGTGATATATGTTGCAAAAGTTTCCTTCCAGTTTGTTACCTGTTTTATTATTTATTTTCTGATGTATTTTTGTCCTGCAAAAGTTTTATATTTGTACTTTAGTCCTAGTGAGAAAGCCTTTTCTGAATTCTTAGTTTAGGAGGAATCCCTCTCTCCTGCCCCCACCCTCCCCTCACACTTTTAAAAATACTTGTAGTTTTCTTACAATTAGATCTCTGATCCATTTGCAGTTTATTTTTATGTATGATGTGAGAAACATTGAATTTTATCTTTTTTTCTTGTCTATTGTTTAAAATGACTATAAATGTGCTAATGATTTGTTATATCACCTTTACAGAGATTAGATTTCTATCTGTAGTGGAATCTATTTCTGGACTTTCTGTTCATTTGCACTTTTCTGCCTGTTCATGTAGCAGTCCTACACTGTTTTCATTATAGAGGCTTTATAGTATGTTTTAATGCCTGTAGTATGTGTTAATGAGGTAGTCCCCTCTATTTATTTTCAGTATTTCCCAGTTTTTCTTGAACTTTTTCCATTTGAACTTCAGTATCAACTTGTCTAACTCCATGAAAAGCTTTATGATTTGTAAGTTTGTGACCTATTGATGTTGAGATGTTCTAACCAAGGACAGGGTATTTCTTTTCAGTTGTACAGTCCTACTTTTATATGTTTTAAGAATGTTTATTTTTCTTTAGTAGGTTTTGAACATTGCTGTTTATTCCTAAATATTTTACTTTTAAAAATTGCTATTTGAAAGAGACTTTCTTGAAAAAGTTCCTTTCCAAGATGGGCGAATAGAAATAGCTCCGGTCTGTAGCTCCTGGTGTGATCGACAGAGAAGGTGGGTGATTTCTGCATTTCCAACTGAGGTACCTGGTTCATCTCCCTGGGACTTGTTGGACACTGGGTGTAGCTCACGGAGGGCAAGCTGA